GAATGGCAATGCTTGAATTACACAAATTCTCAAGTTGACATCCACAAATCCAGCACGACTAGTATCCGGTTAGTAGATAAGTTCTACACGTTTGGATCAGTAGAATTATATTGTCAACATAAAACTATATTTAAAGGAAATTAATTATGCATTCTGATAGCACTCGAAATTCTCTATCACTTTGTGTATTTAGGTCTTGACTTGCATTTATTTGGTGAAAAATATTTTGAATACAGTGAAGACACTCCACCCTCAGAAACCACGAACTCCATTTTTTGTTTCTTTCTCATGTGTTTTTAAATTTTTTTTCTTTACAATAATCCGTTTTTTTAGAAAAGTAATTATATATTCTGAGAGTCCTTGAAATGCTCTATCATCCTGTATATTCCGATCTTGGCTTAAACTTATTTGCCGAGAAATATTTCGAACATTGCCAATGTTGGTGAGGGTGTCTTCACTGTACTAGAAGTATCTTTCAACAAATAAATGCAAGTCAAGACCTAAATATACAAGATGATAGAGAATTCAAAGCACTATCAGAATATATAATTATTTTTCTTAAAATGTAGTTTTATATTGACAATATAATTCTACTGATTCAAACGTGCAGAACTTATGTACGAATGGGATATTTGTCATGTTTGAACTAAATTTTATCGGACTAGATACACAAAAAAATTCAATAGTACTAATTGCATTGAAAAAAAGAATTACCACTAAGAAAAAGTCGATCGTAACAAAATGAACTATTGACAATAGATATCCAAAAGAAGGAATGATTAGTATGTGTTGAGCAAGGTTGTCGCAATAATTAAATTAATGTCCAAGTTGTATCGAATGCAACTAGTGTATAATAATTGACTTTTATCGGTCCGAAAAATGTTTCACATTCATATTGATGTCAAATGTTATAGGCTGCATTTCATAATAGTATATTAATTGGACCACTAATAACATATCTTGCTAAGAATTCAAGGCTGTGCGTGCCCTTACGTCACCTCGAATACTCAGTGTCGCAATATCAAATACTACTGTTTGACTGATTATCAATTTATTTTTACTGAATGCATGACTTATTGCTTCAGTGCCGTTATATTCAAATCGTACAATGAAATCAAATGAATAATTGTATAATTGACGATGCAGAAGCAGGAACATACGAAGATACTGTATGCTAAAAGATCGAATATACAATTCGATCAGATGAATCAGGATTAGTTACATCATATGATATTACGAGAATATCAACTGATTCGGCAAATTCAGCAATAATATGAATCTCTCTTGAATATGTCAGTCTAATAATGGCAATAATGTTAGAAATGGACATTATTAAACATGTGCCACTAAGAGCACCTATACTATTAACACCAGGTTGTGCTGCTTACTTTGAAATATATTGTCCGTCAATTATTATATTGTACGGTTGGAAAAGAACTACTGCAATCTTAAATATATCATTAGAATGAATTGACAATTCGCTTAGTTTAGAGGTGTTTGCTGCGTCATGAAAAAGATATAACATTTGAATGCTTGAAACATCTGAAAGCGGTCAAATTGCAATTGTGTGCTACACATGAAATTTCCCGAATATAAAATATAATAGCAACCAATGAAAACATCACGGATATAATATCAACTTTTTATTATAATCGATGTTTGATAATTGGACAAACCGTGGAAAAAACAGTGAAAATGTTTCGGTTTAAATCGAAAGCAATTATCAACAAATCCAACAGTAGAATTATATAAAATCTATTGAATTCGTCATCATCAAAACTCTTTACTAAATCATTATAAAAGAAACCGTTATCTTCTGGAAAGAGACTTACCCGAACCGAAGAAACTCAGCTTGTAATTTTTAACAAATAAATCACATCCAAATACAAAATCTATCATGAGCTATAATATGCTAGGTAATTCCAACGAAACTAAACAGGGTTATAAGGATTTTGAGCTGAGTTCCATAGAAGAAATAATTAAATTGATATACAATGACGAAGACAAGAAAATAACGACAACAAACCGAAATGTAGGGGACAAAAATCTGGTATCAATTGGAGAATCTTTTTGAAAGTTGCACTAATGCAAAATAGAATGAAGAGAAACATTTTTCGATTATAAATATCATTCCTTAAGTCATTCGTATTTCTGAACTGGCAATGCTCGCATGGATGCAAACATAACCAAATAAATATGTTGAATGTCTGCACATTTTTTTCTCGTAGTGAACATATACTTCACGCTTTTCTTTCGTAAAAAAGCTAATTTTAATAGCAAAAATATCCTTATAGATTAAGAAAAATCAAGATCAATTACTTGTGAGTTGCGTTTTCCCATTTTTCTACTTCCGTAAAAGAAACGTTTCATATACATATCTCTCACTCTATATGAGTACCAACTGTTTCTTAGAAATGTTTTTTCCAAGATTTTTAGAGATCAATTATTTCGAATAGAAAAGAAAGAATTTTTCTAATTATAAGAATATAATCGAAATCTCAGAGAGAACATCACCAAACAAGTTAAACAATGTAAATATCGTGCAAGTTGCTTTCGGATTTCAATCGTTGAAGAAACGATATTGATCAGCCATTCATACATATTTTTCCTTTCTTTTTTGTTTATTTCAAAATGAAGATTTATGCAGATTCTGCCAAAGAATGAAAACACATAATCCCTTTTTGTCAGTTTCTTTTGTTTCCTATGATTTTTTTGAACGAGGAGGATATATCCATATGACATCATTGATTCTATCAAATATTATAAGCTAAATATAATGCATTTAAGATCTTAGAAACATATTGCACAAATACATTATTGATGGACAATGAATAATTATCTTAATTCTGAGATCTATCGAGGTATATTCATTTCTCATCGATAACCATGTTCACAACTTTCAATTCACTATCAATCAGAAATTATATTAATATGATCAAACACATATTTAATTAGTTTTTTTCTAATGAAAACTAAATTTTATTTTAATCACTCATGCAATTAAAATTGCTCATTTTTGTATAGATTATCTTCTTGTCTTTGTCTACTACCAAAATAAAAACATGTTATCGATAATTTTTGTGTCACATTATACGACAACCAATGTGATCACAAAACGAAAAATAGATGAGTTGTAACGTGGTTTTGTTTTGAACTACATGTAGAAGATGTTCAAAAAGTGTTCAAACGTGATTTTATCTGAGAGTAAGTCTGCACATAACATTGGTAAAAATTGTTCAGATGCTTTTATATTTCAAAAAGTAATTTGATCAAAAGTCTCTTAATCATGTCCCAACACAGTTCTATTTCAAAAGACACGTAGATGCCAAAAGTGTTGTACTGAAGACAATGAAAAGCATAAACTTCATCAGAAATATTTGATAGATTTTTTGTTATCTAACGAGTGGATATGTGTTTGTAACGTGAAATACACCTAGTATCCCGAAAATCGACATGTTACATGTGTGTAATTCATTGAAATTTCATCACACTTTTTCTAGCTGGAGACTCATTATATGTAGCGTGCCTGAAAACGGCCAAAAATTAATTATGTGTAAGAGGAAAAAAAAGCTTTTGTAGAATTTGTGTAAATGATAGATAACATTGTTTACAAGAATTTTTTAGCTCATCAACTACTTTTACTTAAAGTGTCGAATAGTCTACTGTTTCAACAGTATAGTTAATAACTGTTCACAATCATTCATAAATATAGTATAATCGATTTTTCGTTTATTACAATCCCCCATTAAATCATCTACCATCTTATGATCATGATATTCACAGAAAAAACAATCTTTTAATATTATTATGATCCATAGAAGATAAGATCGTTTAGCATTTCATTTAAAACTGCAAAATTTATTTGAGAAGGAAAAAAAAATTCAAAAATTTTAATGAACTGTTGAATGTTTTATGTAGACATAATGAAGTGCTTGTGCTCGAAAATAAATTGAATTAATGAAGTTAGAATTCATCTATATTTTGGTTTGAAACGAGAAAACATTTTGAACTAGAACAAGTATGATTTGACTATCATCACTGAAGGTGATTTTTCAATGAATTTGCCAAGATAGACCAAAACCATCGAAACATGATGTCGATACCGGCTTATTTCGAATCTGAAATGGATCGAGATCTACTTTTTAAATTTCATTTCCAAAGCATACTGACACTATTTAGATGCATTTTGACTACAAAAGTATTTATATGAGAATGAACTTAATCTCTTCGATAGAAATATTTCTTCGTTGATTTAATACATTTCATATTTGAGATTTATTTACTTTTGATCGATTAATTATAAAAATAATATTAAGTATCAATTGATGATTTGATAGAATATTGAAATGAAAAGTATGTTGAATTACATAGTTGAAATATATCTGATTGTAGATTTTCATTTTATGCTCTAGTTTATATCATTATAAAAAGTTTAATCACTTTTTATCTCTTGTAAAAGTAACCTTTTAAATAATCTATTTTTATAATCGAAATACAATCCTTTCAAATCATAAGTCTTATTTGAACAAATATTAGTTTCGATGGAGAATGTCTTTATTATGATAAAACAAATCAATAATTAAATGCTTGCTTTACATGTTTTATGTTTAGGAAAAAGACATTCTAATGTATGTAGTTCTTTTACCATCCAGATGAATAGCCATATCCACCACCATAACCTCCAACTCCAGGATAACCTCCATATATTTGACCATATGTTGGATTTGGATTTCCACCATATCTATTATCAAGATATTCACCATAGTAACCTAAATTAAAAGAAATAATTAAGTTATATTCGTTTTTTCAGTTAAATAAATAACTATTAAGATTTATGAAAAAAAAAATCAAAGTTTATTACAAAAAATGACACAATCTTTATTGAGATAATAGTTTGAAAACTATAAACGAACCAATTAGATGTGTTCATACATGCAGTGGTTACCAAATTTGTTCAACAGGGTGTATTTTGAATTATTTTTCCTATCAAAATCGCAGAAAATAATCCAAATAGTAATTCGAACAGAAAGAAAACATTTACTATAAGAATATAAGGATGTAAGGTAACTACGATATCATAAAAGAAAGGGTAACCAGAAAACTGAACCACCAGTTTTTTAACAGCTACAAGACATAAATGTAGTTTTTCTCAGACTACAGAAAACCATAGAAGAAACAATTTCTTTAAACCTAAAACATTTTTGAGCTCTGTACGACTCTTTTTCTCCTAACATACACCATGTCGGATTCAAAATGCATTATTAAATTGTTTCATGGAAAATATCTTCATAGACTTTTCTGAGATTGATGTATGTCACCGAAAAAAGGTCGTAGAAAACTCGGTGATGTTTTGTTTTTTTATAGAATTGTTTGCTCTATTGTTTCATAACATGTGCTAAAAGTTGGATTTGTGCATACTAGGTTCTCAAAACTAGTGATATCGACTTTCTGGAAACTATGCCTTTGAGATCTGATAATCAGAATATGTTGATATACTCTTCTTCTCTATATCTTTCTCTATTCAAATCATTAGTGAAGTTCTTTTTATTGCGACTAAAACAACAGACAAGAATTGAATATAGGTCTTGTTGGACACTTTTGATATCCACGATGCATATATATAAATATACAATAAAAGTGAGAAACCATATCCTAATAAGATTAGCAATAACATTTTACGATTCTTACTGTTTAATCCACCAGGAACATTTCGTTCAATCCACATATCAGTTTGTAATTCTCGTATCATATAAGGATTACCACCGTACATATTTAATGTATTATTAAATGCGTAGAATACCAAAGAATATTTCTATGTTTTGATCAATGAATAAAAACTGGTTTAACTGCATCTATTTATATAGGATATTGCTATTGTTGTAATGCGGCAAATATTAGTAATAATAAAATTTCTGAAGCGTAACTAAAAATGACGTACTGAGCCGATGTAGGTGTTTAAATAAAAAACAAGTTTCGACCTTTCCTTTTCCTTAATTTCTACTAATGTCATGTACATGTTTACACATACATGTAACAATTTTATTTCGAAAATAAACTTAGACTTGATTCCTGATTTTCCTATGAAATTTTTGTTTTCTAAAATAATTTTCAACTGGTATTTTTTTCTTAAATTTAATGAGTAAATATGTTTTCATACGTAAAGTATATACGTATAATCATGATATGTCATTACTAATATTTTACCTTGTCACGGAAGAAATGTTTTTTTTATCATCTGTTCGTGAATCATACTTAACAAAAATAGTATATTTTCAATAATTTACTGGATAAACCAAAAGCACGTGTTTCATATTTTTAAATAATTATTAATTTAAAAAGATAATCACAAACTAAAAAAAGCTGTCTGAATAACACCATTAACAAACAAAAAAAAATATCTAGTGTAGATGATTTATTCTATATTATGATTTAAAATAGAAAAATAAATGAACATTTTAATTTTTAATTTCAAATATTTTGCTATAAAACAAATTCTAATTGAAAAACATGGACAGAGAAAAATGAACAATGACGTGACGCTAATAGGAAAAGAATATTCAATAAGATTTCATCATTTCATTTATCATTTAAGTACAAAAGATTTGAATAACGATTCCATCAATAAAGTCAATACGTGCAAAATGAATGCATAGTATAGCTGAATATATATGTATTTACTATAGCTAGATATTCATTCAATATTAGTTTTCGATTATTAAAACAAGCTACACCATACAGAACTATTTGAGAGTTGTGCATATTTTCTGAAAAAGTTCTCATTGAATGTTTTAGCTCAAGTAACTGCTTTTTAATTAAAGAATTCTTTCGATGTGATGATATCCATAGAAAATCTTTTACAAGAAATCATTCTGTCTATGCAAATAATACAGAATACTAGTGATTGGAAAGTAAGAAGTAAACCACTCATGGTTGGTATGTTTATACTAGTAGATCTATCTGATGAAAACCACTGTTGACAAAGATTTCCTACAAGCCAATCTCATTTTTATTATGAAGAACATCTGGTTTTGTTAATGATAATATAAAGACATTCAAAATCTTTTGCATATAATCATAGATTAGCAATAACAACACCATAGGTACTACAACTAAAATCTCTCTCAGTAAGAGTTCAATTACAATAGGCTTTGTTAGTTACATATTCTAAAAGATCAATATCTGAAATTGCAGCATCAATAGAATCATCTAATAACTTGGTATATAACTCATGTTGTAATTTTAATGGATAAAATTTTTGACTAGTGCTAGAAATGTAGTGTAAAGAAAAATCTTCCCACAATGATCTTGCAAGAATACCTATACGGCTAAAGCATATTTTTTTATTTTTCATCTCATTAATTTCAGAAATAAAATCTTTTGATTTTGATATTATTAAATTAGATGTTAAACTTTTTGTATACATTTCTCCTAATACCAAACTTAAGATATATAGACGTACACTTCATAATCGTCCTGCAACTGTTTGAACTTGAAAACTTGTATCATATTATATACTCATTACACTAGCAGAAATTATGGACTGATTTTTGAATTCTACGCTTACTTATTGTTCTAAGTGACGCAACAAGATAACACCATATATATTTACCAACCAGAGGCATCAACCATAGAATAAGTGAGAACGATATTAGTTATGAAACAAGATCAACATCTATTGAAGTTGCTTTTCGAATAATAATGCGTAAAGAATTATCAAATATTAAGTTAGAAAAATTGACTATTTCTCTTCGTGAAGCAGTAATAGTAACATCACCTACTACCAAATCACGAACACCATGTGCTACTACTTGAACTAATCCATTATACATGTGATTCGATAGTACTAATATAATATGAGGAATAAATCCCATCTTATGTTGTAAACTATCAATAAAATGAGGTACATAACCAATTAAAGTGGTCGTTTTCTGCTCGCAGCAATCTTTTCGTACTGTGGGTTTAGATGATGAAAAGCCCCTGTTCTATATCAGCATCCATACCGTTCTCTACTTGTGAATATTACATGCTGTGCTCCTTCTGATGCTGTACTTATTCACTGAGTTCTAGAAGTTCTTTGTTTGAATTACTTATTGCTCGAATTAAAGTATAGAGAGAAAGACTTGAGAACGCTCCAATGTATTGTTCAGAGGAATTGGTGAACTATACGTTTTTGATGCAATAAATGTAGTTACAGCAAATAGTACACGTTTCACTTCTAGAGAAAAATTATTGATGAAACATCTTGTATATTATTTTTATCGAAAGCTAATAGGAGAAAATGTGATATGCTGTCTATTACAACAATTATATTAGGTTGTTGATTGCCGGTCGATTATTAACTCAAGTTGACTATAGTCCAGTCACAAGAAAACTGAATAAATCATGTAAAGTGACAGATATATATGCATGAGATCAGATACCGAAGAACGTTTCCGAAGATCATAAGTGAGTTCAAAAAAAGAGAGAAGGAAAGATGAGTACTTCAAGAAAGGGAGAATAGTATAGAACACAAAATATAAAATGCACTTGGATAATCTGAGCGTACTCGAAGAAAAGTGAGAAATGTTGCCTATGTGTTTTCCATACATGTTAACAAAACGAAAAAGAAGAAATATAGAATGTATACCTGAGTGATGATGTCACACCATCTAACAATGAACCAGAACACTGAGCAGGAGTAAACAGAATATCGAATACACAACCCATCAAGAAAGAGAAAATTCGAGAGCAGAGCTACCACAAATCAAAATAAATACT